GAATCTGTCATAGCCGACATCAGAGCGACACTGGAGGGTCAGGCTCTGTCCAGAGGCCACAATGGGGCCCTGCTGGCTCAGGAGGGAGGGCTTCCCAGACTCACCTGGAGAGAACAGATGTGAATTACAGGGGCTGCTCCTCCCATAACCCCATTCTCCTGGCCTGGACATCAGGCCTCACTGTCTTTCTCTGTGACTCAGGCCCAGGAGCCCTTGTGCTCCCCTCACCCTCTCATATGGGGCTGCACTCAAATTAATGACCCTAATAACACCCCAGTATTTGGTGCCTGAATCAATGGAAGGGACAATAATGGGCCTTACCTGAGACCAGGAGCTCCAGGGGGTCACTCGGGTGTGACCACACCTGGGGCCTGTACCTGTCATAACCATAGCATCTGAATGGGCCTCTGTCGCTGGGGGTCACCGGGCCCACAGGGAACAGAGCCTGGAACTGACTGCTGGGCTGTCTCCGTGAGTCCAGGGTCCAGGAGAGCCTGTGGTCTCCTTCCTTAGTCAGAATGAAGCTGTCAAATGCCTCCCCTGAGCCACACTGCAGGGTCACGTTCCATCCTGAGGACACTACAGGGCTGGGCAGGGCTGAGAGGCTGGGTTTGCTGTAGGATCCTAGGAGAGGAGGAGGCAGCGTGTTAAATGGACTCACTCCTCCCTCATGTCCCCCAGGGCTGGCATCTGAGGAGACACCCTGAGAGTAGACCCCCTTCCTGAGGGCAGAGCCTGAGGCTGGGACCCCTGAGTGTCCTCTCACCTGTCACCACCAGCTCCAGGGGGTCACTGGGCTCTGACCAGCCATCAGGGCTGAGATAGTAACAGTGATATCTCCCAGCATCATGCTCTGCCATGAGTGGGATGGAGAACATCACCTTGTCCCCGGGCTTCAGTGGCTTCTCTCTTTTCCATGGTGCTGGGCTTCCCTCTTTATCCAGACGGTACTCCTCAGCCTCCTGGGTCCCCTGACAGGAGATGGTCAGGGGCCTGCCCTGGGGGATCACAGGGCCTGGCCCAGCCAAGAAGGTGGGTTTGGGGAAGGTACCTGGAGAAAACAAGAGGCTGCATTACAAAGGCCTTCCC